ATCTCACTGTACAGCCGTCTTACCGTTGTCATCTGAACAGCATGCAGGGATGAGCTGTAAAAGTGTCCACAGGCGAGTTGTCGAACTACTGGAAGCAAATTGCCAAAGGTGGTAGAAAAATGCCGGCTTTCTATATATCTCTGAATTAACAGGGGAACTAAAAACTTCCTTAATTCTACCAATTTAGGTTGGTACCGTGAGCTTCTTCTTCTTCTCCTTCTTCTTCTTCCTTATTAAAACAAGAAGGTGACAAACATTTCCTACAAACCAAGTTTTTCAGGCGGTGAATCGAGTGTGAACTCCTCACGCTGATGAGTTCACTACATTTGTTCACTTCTTGATTTCTTATAGACTAAGGTACTCGACCTAAACCATTACTTTTTTAATTTGTCGTATATTAATTCCCAAAGTGTGTCAGTGACACAATGAAACTGATGTTTTTTATGCGTAATTATAATTTGAACCGAATAATATTCATACTAGTTTATGATCATTTACAACCAACACACAGTCCTACACATTTTATGATGATAATCATAGTCTAATGCATTATAGTCTAATGCATTAGACTATGTTCATTTCATGGCATAATTATGTACAATCTATTTTAGAGAATTATTATTTTAGTTGTAGATCATGATGTATCATGCTCTTTGCAACAACTTGCAAGGATGGGTGCATACAATATTTGTACAGCTCAAAGCGGTACAGATTGCATGCAAACATGTTTAAATTAGAGTGACGTGGCTGCGCTTTGTATTAACTATATTTAAAAAAGAGTGCTAGAACATAACATATTTCACCTTGTTAGTACAGAATTGTGAACCGAGGCGTGCATTCACAGCAGATGTGGCACCCCACGAAGATAGAAAAAAAGGTACTCAGATCCGCTCATTTATTTTTGTGGGATCTTGCTGAATGAATAAGGCAAACTCATTGTTTTTAAGAGCGTTTGCTCAGACATAACATTGCATAACACAATGGTAGGAGAAACACTCCATATGAAATATCTTAAATCTGACAAAATGTGTTCGTCAATGACATACATTATAATTATGTTGGTTTAGAAGTATGTACTGATGACTCGTGATTGTGTAAACAAATAGGGAATCCTTAAAACAATCAAATGTATGCTCTTTGTTTGTTTATCTTATGTGACTGCGTTACACGGCTTGATGAATAAGAAAATTAAATTGACCAGCTAACAAATGAAAACTGCTGGATTCCGGTGCAAAAAAGAATGCGATACGTGTCACATGATGGCACCTCTGCAGACCTCATTACAGTGTGAGCCATTGCAAAAACACGCTTTTACACGCAATGCTTTTTTTCACTGCACGTTTGTGTCAATAAGCACGACATCCTCAGCGAGTCGGGGAAGCAATGCAGCAAGCGTCTTGCATTAGGCCGAAGTTGGATCCGCGAGTGGGCTGTTAATAAAATGCATTGAGTGTGACGGCTGATTGTTATAATATGTGTAAAAACAGGAGAAATGATGGTCGGATGTCTCAGTTGTGCGGATGGACCGTCCACAGAATGGGCCCGTGCTTCCTGGCTGATCGTCACCAGAGGTTTAGAGGTTTCAGTGGCCGTGCTGTGTTTCACAATCACATGGAACGGTCGCTTGACATGCCTGCAAGGGGACATCCAGCCCTCTCACTTCTTATTCCTGATTCCTCATTTTCTCTGGACTCCACAAGATTCAACAATCAGACAAGGCTGTGGGTATTATTAGACAAGGGTGAATCACAAGGCACATGGAAGCACACAAACACACAGTTCACATGCAAAAACTACCTTTTTGGGGTGTTTATTTTACAATAATAGGCCTAATCTGTTGTTTCAATCTATTTGAATTACATTTGCCCTTTAGAATGAGTATACTCACAAACGGCACACAGTTAAACACGCACATTTAGGCGTATACACCCATTTACGGCGTTGGGCCCCTATCCCACCAAACAGCCGAGTTCCTCTTTCTTATTGTGTTGCTCAAGCCAGACGAGGATGACTCAGTGAAGATATTAATCATGTATATGTTGGTTTATCTTCACATCTGACTCTGCTAAGTTTGTTTGTGCGAAAGGCAGTTAACAAGTCTATTTTTAAAAATTTGAGAAGTTGAAGGTTAGGTAGACTTCTCAGATGTTAAAAAAAACCATCATGCCTTGAGGACTGGCCATCCATTTTACTCCAAAAATGTTGTTGAAGGCAGTAAAGAGTGTTCATTACAATACATTTCTACGTTTTAAACAATTGAAGTTGTATTTATGAAAGTGTTTAACAGCTGATCGGGAATGTCAAGTTGTCTTACTTTGACTAAAAAGAGAGCGCCAAACTATGTGTTTAGCTGAGTGCAAAATAAGTTCAATAAAAAACGCTGGAATTGAATTGTTTCGGTAATATAATGAGATGTGTTTTCTTGGCTCTTGTCATGGCAGACGCTACACAATAGATTGAGTTAATCTACTCCTGTCACATGCACCACCTGCTGGTCAGGCCGTTTAGTAAGTAACCGTGTGGTACCGCGGAACCTCGGGTGCTCTGCTACAGGTCAGGTGGGAATAAGGTGCTGGCCAAATCAGCACCCAAACGTAGTGGAAGAAGAATGTTCTCCATGGAACTTGACACCGTTTCTCCAGAAACAGATCAATTACCAAAACATAGTTCAGAAAAAACTGGAATGTCTTTTCAGATTTGTACCCAAGTAAAAGAAGAGCAATGTAAGCAATGTAAAAGTTCTCATTTTCAAAAGAACGACACTAACATATTACAATATAAGATTTTTAAGAATATTTGGTGCCATTTGTGTGGTACGGTTTTCGAACATCGATAGCCCTCTCCTTTCCTGCAGCTCGGTGTGACAGTCTGGCTCGGGCCGTTCTGTTGCCTCCACAGGCCCAGATACATGCGGCCGCTGCTTCCTGCACCGCGGGGTCGGCGTTGGCTCCCGCCGCAGCAGCAAGACACTCTGCTTTTGGCTCCGTAAGAAGACGCTGCTGCTGATTCTGCAGCAGAAGCTGACCCGATGACAATGAACTGTATAGAACAAAATGATCATTGCGCTGACGAGCTTGTTTAGAGACAAACGCCATAGAGGCTTCAGGGTCTCATTGAGACTGTTTCACAAGAGTTAAAATGTCCTTACTGTGACTCTAAATGAAACCAACTGAAATGGTTAGAGGATAAGTGTCGCTTTGGTTCCTTACAAAGTAAAGAAAACTGAAACAAGTTAACATTTATTTTTTTTGCATGCGGTCACGTTCCATAAAGGATGGAAAAAGGCAGTTCAGTCTTTGACAATGCGATTATTTTATAAGCTTATCATAATGTTGCATGTGATATCTTAATCTGCAAAGGAACAAACGGCTCCGGCTGTCAAAATATGTCTAATGGAGTAAAACAGTATTTGCCTCTATGTGTTGGATTAAAAGTATGAACTGTAGATGTTAATGTAAATCATAAGCATTTCTCAAACTTGTTGTTTAGCAAAGTACTTTAACGAAGCCTCTGTCCCTAAAGAGAGAGAGAGAGAGAGAGAGAGAGAGAGAGAGAGAGAGAGAGAAGAGAGCTGCTCTATGGATGAGTGGCGAAAGCAGTTATTTAAACACATAATATGCCATTCAATTGCCCCGTCCCTGCTTGTTTTCTATCACTTTCACATATCTTCTGTAGTTTGTTCAGTATATCAATAAATGCCATTTTCTCTAGTGGTTCTATTCAGAGGAGACTATTGATGTGAAATTGTCCTGTGTAAGCCACACCATTCCTTTATTGTCTGTGTGCCTAATCGGGTACAAACAAAAGTAACCTAACTAACCTTGTTTGTCTTTTTCAAAACTATTGTGTCTTTTGTGTTTCAGCAAAGCAGACAGAAACACATCTTCATAAAAACCTGTTAGCATCACAGTCGGCTTATCACAGGGTCCATCAATCTCTCACGTTGTACACATGAAACAGCAGCTTCAAGCGAGTGCTGTACGAGAATGAAACAGAAAGAGGTCATGTCCGTAACTGCTGGAGCCGAACTTCAGTCCTTGTCCGTCCTGCAAGTTGAAGTGCACCCTGCACCGTCTTTCACTTAATCAACCTACAAAAACACACACATTGTGAAATCATGTCAATAGTCTCCCAACAACAGCAGAGTTGGAATGGGGCCAACGAGGACAACATTGGTGATATGCCTCGATATTGCGCTATTGAATGTTGGTTTCTCTTGTGCTTGTTCTGTTGTTGTTGTTTTTACACTGAGACAGTGACTCATATCATATTAAAATATCTTGATTCTGTCAATAGGTGTTTGTCAATGAGTGGATCTGCTTTGGCCGAGGATTTGTAGCATAGGTTGGTTCTTCGGTCCTTTGACAACAACAGCCTTTTCCCAGGCAGACGCTTCTGTTTGCTGTCAAAGATGTGCTACTATGTAACACCAACAAGGGCTTTGTTTAATCAAGTGTCCCAGTAAGCTGTGACAGTGTGACAATATTCACTAGTGTTTCCTCTGTGACATGTTTAATATCTTCGGTGATACCGATACCTAAAAAGCTTATATAGGTGGATATTATATATAACTTAATTAATCAGAAAGTATATTTTTCTTATACCAATACACCTTCAGTGTACATAGTGCACTTTATTGTAGTGAAGTAGCCAATTAAAAAGTTTACTTAGTAAAATATTGCTGTGTTTCTTGGGAAGTGGTGGAGGTGGTGTTAGGTCGTATACTGCGTTTGAATAGACTACATGAACAGCTTCTACGACTAAATGATCTGGATCAGTAAATGACTTTATTCCAGAATAACACATTTGGGATATTCAGTTCCCGACCACTCAGATTATTTCGTTTAAATTCCCCACATTCAGTGGTCTTATGCTGAGATTTCTAACAGAGTTCGGAATCGAGGTGAACATAATTAACTCCTCTGGGACGTGGAGTCCTCGGTAGAAAATAAACGTTACGTTAACGGTACTTCCTGAACTGCACGGTGGGGCGGGATCCATGCCCCCCCCCTCCGCTCCGCTCTCCGGGATCCTGAAACGTGGCTGTTTGGGGGCCGCGGTGACCCACCGGCACTCTGGAGCCTGTGCAAACTCACAGGCGAGCGCCTTCTTCCTCCACCGAGCCTGGATGGCAGGGACACCCCGGTGCGAAGCCTGCAGAAACCACAAGGTACAAGCCCGGTGATGAGCCGCCTCTCCCGGACACCCCCCCGTAACAAGCGAGCAGCGACCCCCTCGCGCGGGGCCGGTTGCGGCCGTTGGGGGCCGTTGCTGCGTGTCGCCAGTTAACGTCTTTAGCGCGCGCGGTGATTACCAGCTAGCATCAGCGTGCTAACTTTAACTCACGGAGTTCGCGCTAGCTCGCTCGGTGCGTCACTGTGAAAGGAGCAATGTTCTCATTTATTTTGTAGCTTACCGGCTCTCTGCCCCGTTGTGTGTGTGTGTGTGTGTGTGTGTGTGTGTGTGTGTGTCACGGTTTGGCGCGTTGTCTTGTCTATTTTGTGTTTTTAAACGGGAGTTGACGTTAGCATTCACTGTCTGTGAGTAAAACGTCCTGCTCGCGGACGGGATGCGAGCACTTTGTTAAGTTGTCAACACGCTGGTGTTTCATTGTGTGCAAACCTGCGCGCAGTTTGGGATTAAACTGTTGCACTAAACACAACCTTGTCGGTAGCCTCTCGTTGCCGTCTTTTTCTAACGGAGCGTTTCCAGATGTCCAGAGGCGGCTGCCTACAGGAAGCACACACTGGACTCTTCTGGCATTTTCCTTCCCCTGAGCTAAAAACAACAAATCCCTTTTAACGCAACTTCCGTGTGTCGCTGTCTGGTAGTTTTACAAACCAATGTAATGCAATTTTTTAACGCTATAAAAAATGCAAGTAGCGTCCATTCTAGCGTTTCTATTGTCTTGCCTGATTTACAGAAATATGAAAACTGTAAAACCCCCAAACGTTAAGTCAGACTAAACAGGCCATGTTGAATTTACCAAAAGCCATATTAAACTATTAATAAAGCCATATTAAACTATTAATATGGCTTTTATGTCCTGTTTATTTGGATTATTAGAGGAGGTCCTGCAGAGGCCTGTCTGTCTGAATGTGTGTGCGTTTCTTGCAGCATTACTGGTTGCAAGTGCCTTTTGGACCGCGGGACGGATGAGCGGTGGAAGCTGTAGGAAGCCCAGCTGGGCTGTCGCTGCTCTGTTGATCCCGGTCACCGTCCTGCTGCTGCTGCTGCTGACCTCCGGGGCGGCAGCGGGCAGCCACAAGATGACACAAACCTCAATGGCACATGCCACGGCCTCCGCCACAGGGCCGGGCCCCAACCTGGCAGATTGCCTCCAGGCAAACGTCTTCTACAGCGAGCATCTTCACGTGTGGCTCTTGTCCCTGGTGGGCTCTATTGCTGTCGGCCTCAGTGGGATTTTTCCCCTTCTTGTCATTCCCATTGAAGCTGGAGCAGCCCTCAAAACAGAAGGTAAGGCACGGCAGCATGTAACATACTCATCTAGGTCAAGAGATCACTAGAATTTCCTCAGGGCAATATTGATAATACACGTGTACAATTATGATATCTCTGTTACTTGGAGAAAATATGCCCTTTCTTTCATTTCTTGTATCATGGAAAAATACGTCATTGTTAACACAAGAAGAGTTCAGAGTTTCTGCAGTAAAGTAAATATTTAAAAATAAATATTTCCAGCCTCATTAACGGTGCGTGTGTCTGTGTCTATAGTGACTCTGTTGTAAATCTCAGCTCTCCTCACCCTCTACGAGGGGGAAATAACCCCAGTGGGTTCAACAGGTATTTCCGATCAGCGCTTTCACCTGCTGGTCTCTTAAGTCACACTAACTCCAAATCTGGAAGGATCTCTTCCATTATAGACCATTGATGACGTCTGTTCGACATTTCATGGAAATCCTTAAAATGTGAAATGGCTGATCAACACTGCAGCAGACCGTAATGCAGACTGATCTTTTCTTTTTGTGTGTGTGTGTGTGTGTGTGTGTGTGTGTATATAGCAGATTCACCAGCTTGATTTTTGTTCTTTAACCAATGAGCCTGGAAAGTACGTCCCACTCGTTGTTAAGTCAATTTTAACTCTGGGCATGAAAGAAACCCATGAGAAACTAGACGAAACAGGTCACCCTGAGGCCCACGGCCTCTTGATCTGCCCCACCCACAGGAACCTGGCATTCCACATGTATTTTAGGCCGTGGGGTTTTCAAGTGCAGTCCTGACCAGTGGTTCGTCGTCACTTAGGAAACCAAACCAAAGGTCTGGTGGAACACGTAGGCATTTCTTTTGTGCGTTTCTGTGCATCATGTTTTACTTGTCAAAATAGGATGAATTAATCGGATTTCAGCCAGAGCATTTTCTAATAAAAAAAAAAATGAAGTAAAGGCCATGTCACGAACTGGCCTAAAGTCAGTGACATAAAAGTGAATCACACAAGAGAAGAGCTGAAATAGAAATAATGATGTATCAGTGGGATCAGTAATGAATACAGCATATAGAAGAGTGCAGTGTGTGTGATGGGGCGTGTGCAAACAAAGCACACAACCACAACCAAACCAGATGGTGGAGTGAGGAGAGTTTAGAGATGAAGCCACTTAGACTGAGGCTAAATTTGCTCGGGTGTTGTTAAGTTTCCTGCTGCCTACACTCGCTCTCCCCTTTTGCTCCTGAGCCAGGAAGCCAAAGCAAACCTGCAAAAGGAGGGATGTCCGTCACATCCATCCGTAATTAAACACCGTCTATACTAACTGCTACCCATTTCTCCTCAGCTGGTGGCCAGAGGCTGAAGCAGCTCCTGAGCTTTGCTATCGGTGGCCTTCTTGGGGATGTATTCCTTCACCTCCTCCCTGAGGCGTGGGAGCTCTCCCGGTCCTCAGGTGGGTGTCCTTTCCACCAACACCATGAACACCTTTTTGTTCTTTGAATTATTGTTTCCTCTGACCCCTCTTAAACAGTAATGACAGTAAGCTGTTCACATTTGATTACCAAAATCCCTTTTTCCCAAACAACAAAGACTGATGTAATGTTAGTAGTATTATTCCATTACTAGATATAGAATCCATGCATTACATTTCTGAAGTTTCTTTAATGATGATTGTGTAGCACTCACCTTTGTTGTAGCTCTTTTTTCACTTACGACATTTGCTTGAGTTTAAATCTCTCTGCTTCCATTCTAGCAGGTAAACACAACCACTACATGACCCAGGGCTTGTGGGTAATCGGTGGCCTGTTGGCATTCCTCCTCCTGGAGAAAATGTTCCCAGACAAAGACAGCCACGAGGATCTCCCGTCAGATTCAGATCTGAATTCAAACTCTGCTGTAAGTGAGGAGAAATCTCGATGCAAGCATTACACATATTTGTTTTCATAAGTCTTGGTTGGTCTGCATATTGCTAACCGTGTTTCGGTGACTAGCATCAGATGGCCTACTGTCCAACCAGCCTTCCTTCAACAGGGAAGAATTTAAAAAGAATAGTTTGGCATTTTCTTGTATAGAATTAAATGAGCAAATCAATTCCGCTCTCGCACCTCGTTGCCGTGAGGATGCTGGGCAGCTGGAGACTGCAGGATGTTACAGAGTGCAGAAGAATTAATCCAGCACATAAAACCACAAGGAGTCTTTTTTTTTTTTTACAGTTTATTTTATATATTATCGATTAGTGAGGTTTAGATAACGTTAAACATGGACAAAGCCAGGCTATTTTTTCCCATGTTAAAAAGTATTTTTGTTAAGCTAACCAAACAAACAGCGTGGTATCGATGGGTTTCCTGTAATTCTTGGCCTGAAGGCAGATAAAGTTGTTTCCCAAAATGTCAAGCTATTCCTTTAACAATGCATCTCTATTAATGAGCAAACTAACCTTTTACATTCTATATTTATTATGTTATTAGTGTGATAATTGTTTTTCAAAATTTGATTGTTGTCTTGATGAGTGTCAACGTTGTAGTTTATTGTATGAAAATGAATTAACTCTTTAACGCATGTCTTTGCTGTGTGTTCGTAAAGGCTGTCTCATCCGCTCTCTGGATGGGGGGGGTTTGGAATCCACGGCTCAGCTCCTCTGCTCTAGTCTATTTATAGTGACGGGGAGAAGCAGCTGCTTTACCCGTTTCAGTGTCCACCGGAGAGCACTCAGTTTGTAGACCGAGGCAACAATAGTGTGACGCCGTGTGAGGGAGACGGAGGAGATGCACATTTTTCCTTCTCCAACACTCTGGACCATGTGTGTCTTCTAACTGGATCATTGTTTTTGAGGGAGGCATCATATGTGTGGAGAGGTCCAATGTCAAATGTAATGGATTGAATTACGTTTGAATCTTTACTTCATTTAAAATGAGGTGTATTGCAGTGGCAATTTAGCCCCCTCCCCAAAAAACAAATAATCAGCCTTCATTACTTCAATCATAGACGTGGAGAAAACCTTTCCGTTCCGCGAAAAGAAGACGTCTATTTCCTTCTCACCTAATTTGACTCTCAGCCTAAATGGCAACTTAAGTGGTTTCTGAATGAGGAAACGAGGAAGTCGGCTGTTCTCGGAAAACATACTGCAGCCTGAAATGTCATCTGCAACGTCTGAAAAAAATGAAGCAAAAGTACAAATGACTGCTTATTTCTGCACATGTAGAGAACTAATTCAACACAACAGCTGTTCAGCTGGCAGGAGGTGTAAGCCGTCGGCACACCGTGGGAGCAGCAATAAAATGCATGTTCGTTGTGCTTTTGGATCCAGGCAACCATTAAATTATTGTTTTTGGTAAGATTGCTGCGGTTCCTTAAGTGAGACGACACCAACCAATTGTATTGGACCGACGGTGGACAACGATGGCTAATGGGAACAGGACAATGTATTAAAATGTATAAAATAAAAAAGGGGGTTACAGTTCACGTGGGTACGCGTAATTTTAATTGTTTTTCTTCCCCTTTTTCTCCACAGTCTATTTCAGCTTTCAGTGGAAAGCCATCGGCGTCACTTAGACATGGGCACCACGCTGAGTCATGGAAATCCCGTCAGCACCAGAGTCTGCAGGAAAGATCACAGAAAATCAAGGTAATTCTGACAACCAAGAAAATTCCCAGTTAACAAGAGCGACCGGAAATGTCATCGTAATAAGCAACCCCTCATTTTAGTTCGACTTGGCTTTGTTGTATCCAACCCAGTGTTTCCCTTAGGTAGTTGGGGGGGGAACAGTTCGGCCCTCATCATTCTTCCTGCACAATTAACAAATATCTTATCACAACAACACATCACCAGCAGCTGCTTTTTGTTTCCTGAGAGAAATGGAAAATGCACTGCCTCATTTTAAATGGGTCAGACTGCAGAGTAGAGAGTAACTTTAGCAGAAAACAAAATCCACCAAGATTCTGTCTCCAAAGAGAATGTTGTGACTGATAAATATAGATTCCTGTTGACCATACATTGTGTCAACTAATCGAGGTTAACATGATTAACGGGGGCTTTGTGTTCGTGTGTCACAGACCTGTGGATACCTGAACCTACTGGCCAACTGCATTGACAACTTCACCCATGGACTGGCGGTTGCAGGAAGTTTCCTGGTTAGCAAAAAAGTAAGAACTTTTGACATGAAAAGACTATCTGTTATGTCTATTCCTCATTCAAATGTATCCATCACAAAAATAGACATTTGTATTTATCATGAGTATCCACATTGGTGCGCTTTATGTTGCCCATATACTTTGTCTTTCCCTTAAGATACAGACTAGAATTAGAGTTTTGGAGGCCTCTAATTACTGTGGGAATTTGGACCCACAATATAACGCCTTACTTCGGAGTACTGTGGTGGGGGAACTGTCAAACCCGCTAGCATGAGTCCATAAACCATATCACAGAACATAACTTCTTTTTAAGCTGCATTCTTTGCAAAGACTGTTCAATGACCCTACAAAGTGTAGGCAGTCTGCATGATAACTCTGAAACCGTTGAGTTGACAGAAACACAGAGGGGAGGTGGTTTACGCTCCTGCAACACTTCACATTCCTCGGTAGATACCATTACAAACAAAGCATGCGATAGCAGAGGGTTTGTCACTAAAAAGGAAGGTCTTGAACCTAAATATGCAATCTGAGAGGGAATGCTAGCACCCATGAAGGATATGTGCATCTTCCATAGGAGTAAAAGCAATGGCGGGGATTCGTCCAGGCACCCTCCCGCCTGCACCCTCATTTTGTTGCTAGTTGTAGCAAAGCAGACAACCCTTAATCCTCACTTTCACCAGCAAAGAGCGCTGTGACATCCTGCTATACGAATGGAGTTTGGGTGTAGATGAACTCTGCGTTTAGTTTTATTACATTACAATATTCAAACAAAGTGTTTTGGTTTTCTACTCATTGTTGCAGCAACATCTGACAAGGCTTGTTTGAAAAGGTGCTCTTTATAGTGCAGTAACATTTGTTTGCGTTGTTTCAGTAGGCTAGTGTATATTTGTATCTGTGGGAAGGAGAGGCTCCAGCTGGAGAGACATAAGGCTAGCAGCAGGAACTGTGGATCGGTGTGCCAGAGAGGAAGCTCTTAAACGTACACATACAAGACATCTCGCCGGTGTTTTCTGTTTACTCCCATGTGCAGTTATCACAATGTGACTTTGCACACAAGGAAATAGTCCCATGAAAATGAATTCACTGTGAATTACTAATATCTTACTCGATATTATTAATTGGCTGTTATTTACTTAAACCATTGTTGTTTTTTACCTTACATTTAGTTTAAGAAGAGCTGGTTATGCTTGTAATGCTATGATTTTTTTTTTCTACCCTTGCTGAAACTGGTTTGAGTTCACTGACATGTAGATATTATTAAAGCCTGATTTAAATGTGGTGTGTATGTGTATAAGTACACTCTGTACACACTTGAAAGGTCTCATGATGCTTTTCATGGAGGATTATGAACACTTTTGAAGAATTTAAGCTCTTACAGCTTCACAACGCTTTAAGCTGCCCAAAGTTTGTCTGTTGCATTTTCCCTCGTTGCACTGCAAGCTTAACATAAATAGTTTAACTGTCATTGCTAAGTAAGACAAAGCCCTGTAATGAAAGTTCTCTTGCAGGTTGGGTTTCTCACCACCTTTGCTATCCTGCTTCATGAAATCCCCCACGAGGTGAGATGCAAAGTACTTTGTAAGATTGTAAACATCGACATTTGAGGTTAATTTAGAGGTTTCATGTTTACGTAGCAGGAAGTGCATTGGAAGAATCAGACCGCTGGCTTGTAAACGCGTTCATCCATTCCTCTGCTCTGGGAAATGTTTCCGTCTGCAGGTGGGAGACTTTGCCATTCTGCTGAGGGCCGGCTTTGACCGGTGGAGCGCCGCCCGCATGCAGCTCTCCACCGCGCTGTTCGGTGTCTTGGGAGCTTGCTTCGCTCTGTGCGCTCAGTCACCAAACGGCACAGGTGAGATCGTGATCGTACACACAATCAGGCCGTGGAACAGTTGCAAAAAGGATACCTAAGTTGTTGTTTTTTTCGTTGTTTTTTTCTGCCGTTTCTAGAAAATGCCACTGCCTGGATCTTGCCTTTTACCTCCGGAGGCTTCCTCTACATAGCCTTGGTGAACGTGGTGCCAGAACTTCTAGAGGAGTCCAGTTTAAGGTTTGGCTTAAACTGGACTTGTTTGTCCAACAAGGAAGTCTTGTTCACATTGCAAACCCAATGGGGAGATTATTAAAACATCGCTCTAGTGCTACTAGTGGCCCAAAACTCCACTGGTAACCTTCCACCTGTTCTGCATAGTTGGAGTTGAGACTGTAGTGACGATGCAAGAAAAATGTTACGAAATGGAACTTTTGGTGTCTCGTTCTGTGATGTTGAAATTGGTAGACTCTATTTTGTATACGTCCATGATTCTGTGTCTTTTCTTTCTTTTTTTGACCAGGCAGTCTCTCCTGCAGATCCTGCTCATTTTCTGTGGCGTGGCGGTCATGGCTGTGCTCTCTGCCATTGTTAATTGAACATGGAAAAAGCACCTCTCGCCTTAACCAAAAGGCAAAACTCACCACCAACCCCTTATATTTTTTTTTACCTCTCATTCTTAGAAACTTTTTATAATGTTACACTACACAAATCTTTCAGAAGAACGTCACTTTATAAAAAATGTGCCAAACTAAGAGAACGATTTAATTAAGATGGTTTCTATGGATCTCTGTTACCAAATTGTCTTACATTGCTGACAATCGTGTTGTTTTGCACATACATTTACACAGGTACACTTGAGGTAGCAGCTCAACCGAGCAGGTTTTATTGGTCTTTACAAGAAAAGCTTTTTTTAAAAAACGTATTCATCCCTGAATTGTTTAAACATTGTATATATTTTGGATTTAGCTGCTGTATATTTATTGAAAAGTAGACAAGCAACCTATAGTTTTTATTAGACGTGCACCACATTCTCTAATCAGTTTGTCACATTAAGATATCAGTGCCGAGAAGTCAGCATGGTTTGTTACCAGAGTGCAGTTTTTTCTGTTTTGTAGCTTCTTCATACAGTCCAGTCTGCACTTTTTGATGTCTGCTTGAATAAATAATTGTAATAAAATTGAAATTAGTTGAAGAAAAGGATTTGTACAGTTTGTGAATAATCAGCTTTCATTTATACTGTTGCCAAGAATTCAGTGAGGATAGCGACACATTACCACTTTAGAAAACCTCCCCGTGAAGGATTTTTTGTAGCGTTCAGGTTTCCACCCTAAAAAATAAACTTTAAATTTAAGGCCTTCTATATAAAAAAAAAATACTGTTTTATGAATTGACAACACACATTAGTGTGAAGAACTGGAACACGTGTGATAATGATCTGTGTTGGATTAGGATTTCCTAATATTGATTGGCTGTGACGGTGCTGAGGCAGACCAGTGTGTTGTGACCTCGCTGCACTCAACGCTGTCCCACCATGAGCATATTCTTACTGCAGAGGTCCTGTGCCTAAAATGTCATATGGGAGTGGAGGGAGGGGGGTCTTGATTGTGAGTTGTCCAATTTCAACACAGTCAGTTTGGCAAGCTTGTGTTGCCATAACGACTGCGCCGCGGGTTGCCTTCCTTAGTCATCAGCCTGAGCGCGGCCTATTGTCTGTGGGATCCTTCCTCGGTCACGGCACAGAAGAACAACAAGCAACCACCATGAGCGCTGTGGTGCGGCCTCGTGATCGACACATCTTTCATTGAATTTCAGCTGTGTTCCAAAAACTTTCGTTGTTAGATTAACAGATCTTGCTGATTTTAAATTATTCAAGATAACCCTCTACTTACTGGTCCTGATCACAAAATTCTGACGTTTTCCATCAGATTTTTGATTTAATTCCTGTGCTTTGGTTCACATGGCATACTGTAAACCTAAAATGTGAACTTCTTCATCACAACCCAGACTATACAGACCGATGTTTGTATTTGTATTTAATAAACCTTTTAAGAAAAGCTATAATCAGTAACATCCACAACCAACTTACTGGAGCATGCTTTGTACAGGATATCAAACTGGATCACTAAATGTCTTCAGCCAACTTGAACGATTTAATTAAATCCAATTCTGCAGCTCTGAAAGTTATTGAGGCCTTTACTCCTCACTGGTTTCCTTTTTGCCTTCATCCTCTTTAGCAATGGTCATGTGACTTGGTCTAAATATTCTTTTGGTGTCCTTGAAAATAATATTCTCAATCCAAAAGAGGACATTGTTATTATTGGACCAACCTATGTAATGCATTTAGTATGAATTACCATTCTGTAACTGAGAACCCCCAGAGGTTATCTGCATTAATACGTCTATTTGCTGACACCGCGGGTATAGTAAGTGGTTGCGTGATAATGTTTTCATTTCCTATACTTAAATTTCAAACTTGAAACACGCCTAAGGTCATCTAAACTGGCAGTAATCTCACGCTTCCAGACACCTATTATACTGCACCAAATCATCATATAAATGTATTGTTTCTAGGTAAAGACAAATAAACGACACCTGTTTTAAATGCTTACTAAAAACAAAATAAATCCAAAAGGTGACCATTGAAGCCTCCCCAAAGACCCCCCCATGTAGTGGGGCAGCGCATCTCCTCTCCACCTCATCCTGCAACCGCCTGGAGGAGAGAGCGCGCAACTGCACCGCTGCCCGTGCCTCCTCCTCACAGCGTTGGTCGCCATCCATCGCCTCTCCTCTCCCCCTCCTCCTCCTCCTCTCCTCCTCCTCCTCCTGTACCATAACAGATGGTGGGAACAACATTGCATCCACCGGGTACCACGACAATAGAGCGCAGCTTCCAGTCCCGACCACGCTGGCCTTGCACCATCATGCTCTTCGTGCAGGACCACGCGAGGCTGTGAGTGCCGTCGTGATTCATTTCACGCGGTACCACCACCACCACCACCACGGCCACGGAGGAACCTTCCTGCGACTGTTCGGGCTCTCCGTCGAGCGGGGAAGATGGCCGCGATGAAAATACTGACGGGCACCGGGCTTTTCCTGGCGTTCTGTGCGCTCGGGCTGCTCGCCATGGCGATCTGCACCGATTACTGGTACGAAACCGACGCGAGGAGGCACCGGGAGAGGTGTAAAAACTATGCCAACAAGCGAAACGACCCCGGCTACATCTACATCTCAAACCAGAACCTCCCCCTCCAGATGCCTCCAAAGAGGCTGGAGATGAAAGGTAACGGCCCAGATGCTCGCGCTCTCATCCGGGGGAAGCGGCACTTCATGGCCGCCGCGTCGCCCATGGAGTCCCACTGCAGCCGGCAGTTTAACTCCACCATCTCCGGGCTGTGGAGGAAGTGTCACCGGGAGGGATTCGACCTGGAGACGGAGGACCTGATCTACAAAGGTAAACACGAGTGCTCTGGCGTTTTCTCTCGCGCGCGCGCGCCATGCAGGCCGTGATGCTCGGCGATGAGCTCACGCGCAGCCCGACACAAACACACACACACACACACACACAGGCCCGTGGTCTGCTCGCACTGCCACACTGTCACCTGTCTCCCTGTTTTCATTTGCCTTTTCAATCTGTTATGCATCGAGGTTAGGATGCTTTGTATTTATTTATTTTTATTTTTGCGCATGTCCCGCAACGCGCTTCGCTGTCCGTGGTGCTGAGAGAACCCCATCGAGCCGAGTCGCTCTCCCACATAATGGCTGCACCTCGATTTTCTGATCCCTGTCTTCCATGCAGGAGACCACAAATGTCCTCATAAGGGTGAACGTCATTAAACGTTTCATGCGTTTTGGGTGATAAGGAAGCTTGAATCAATAGTTCCATTTGAATTCCCATTTTCGATCACACCGGAGAAAACGTACTGCACAGCCTTCCTCGTTTAGCAGCCATATTCTAGGCCTAGGCCTGAGGTAGAATACGGGACCAGCTCCGTGTGGGGAAGTATGTGAAGTCAAAACCTGTTTTTCTCCTTTAACCATTGGGATGTTTTCAGTCTTTCATAATCCATAGACGTCTGAGCTGGCAGCATGCAGTTAAAGATTAAGGTCATTTTTGTCAGGTTTAACCAGTTGAATCTTCTAAACCATTTAAACCCTTTTTATATAATCAATAGCACAATATAGGATATGCATATCCACTCATGAAGTGAACATTATGACAACGTGTTTTTGTTTAATTGAATGAACATGTCTGTCCTACGGAAGTCGACATGGTATGAACACGTTAATCTAACACACAACATTTCTGAAGCTTGTTGTTTTACTGATTTTTTGTTGACATTGTCTCCGAAATGTGTTTAATTAGATTTGTTTCAAATGAATTATTCACGTGTACATCAAATTATTGCCACACCTTGAAAAACTACGCGAAAAGGACACTTAATTCCTATTAGCTCTAGAACCATCGATAGAAATGCTACATCTAATGTATGTCTACTTTATATCTTCTGATTTTTAAAAACATATTTGCTCCTTTTCAATATTCATCTTAAGACCCGATATTGGTGTTAATATATTGAGCAATTCAAAGTCAGGTTTCTACTGTTTTCCCTCGAAAATTTCTAACGGCTAATGACTAATAAAAGTTACATTTACGCATTACATGAGCTGTTCCATATCTCAAAAGGATGATATTTAAAAAAAACAAAAAGGCCCCGAGGGGAACCACACTCATCCTGATGACCAGGAAAGCCTGATGACCAATTGTAACACACAAGAGAGATGTGATGTCACCAGCCAGTCAGATATTTTAGGGACTATCGTACTGAATTATGCCAGTGTCCCTATGTGCGAACAAAGAATGCAATGTGCTAAAATGTGTTCACATCGTTATTGTGACTTGAATACTTCTCGGGTATGGAGGTTTCGGAAGTTTTAGTCATGATTACAGTCTTAATGATCGCAGGGTTGTTGACTCATACCTAATGTGCACTGCTGAATTGTTGGAATGACATTACATGCTCGAGATCTATACAGCATAATTTAATGGGAATTGAATTCATACGCCAATATCAACGTACTAATGACAATTTAAAGGTGCATTTTTCAGCCCAAATAGGAAGCACAAAGCTAACAGGAGAGTCACAGAGATGTCAATCAAGTGCATTCTGTAGATTCCAACTCTGTCCAGAGAAGATGTCCGATCAGCGAGAATCACAAGCTGAAATATGCCGTGTATCTACCAAAAGTGCACCAAGCATTTAAAATGATGCCACGTTGCCACCATTGTGTCTGTTATTGTCATTTTAATTATGAAAGATCCGTCTTAACGGAGGTAGAATTTGTATCTTTCTAATTTTGAGATGTCCAGTACTGAAACAACCTTAAAAAGCATTAGTATTAGTGCTAGTATGGGAAGCTGAAGTTCCAATAAATATGCACCGTGTATAGATGATCATCAGTAAATGTTTCATGCAATAGTTTCAAGCTTTTGTATCAGAAAGGCCTTAAGTAGACAGCGGATTATACTTTGGTGTCACATGTCGATCCTTTCTATATATTGCATATATATAGATATAATATATTATATTCTATATATTGCATAATATATCAGATTTTTGATTAAACATGAAATATTTGGACTAAAATTCTTCCCTTATAATATAAACCTCTTTCTTTCATAATGGCTTTTGTTATCTCACCAAAGAACATTGAGATTAAACCCTGGACGGTCAGAAACCCAACTATAAGAAGGAAAATCTATAAATCTGACAGGAATAACTTATGCTATTGGGATTTAAAGTGTATTTTTTAAGTCAAAGACCCTTTCAACAGCACATATCTTTACCAACAGAGAAGCTAATGAACCGAACGACTGCTGCGTTGCATTCAGATGGGCCCGTTTCAGGGTTCTGGTACTGTGCAGGTTATGGGACACTTAATGGGATGGAGCTGTTGTTAAGGGCATCACCTCCACCGCAGCTGTCCATCTGCTGTGAAGTAGTCTGACCCCATAGCAGAGTAAATATGTCTGCCTCGGTTTTAACTCGTGACACGTGCAAGGTACTTTAGACAAATCACAGTTCCTTCTCAAACTTGAAACTAAAGTGACAATTTGCAGAGGAATTGCAATACGAAGCTGTTGATGTCGATTAACGTACGGAGAAAGAGCTGGACAACAAAAGTCTTCAAATACTGAAATTATCGGGACTCTGAATGCCTATTTTGAATTCAGCTTACTGCACTATCAAGTCATTATGAAGAGATTCACTTTGAATGAGAACGATTGAGTAGAATAATCCATATTGGACATTGTTATTAAGGGAGGATTAGGAAACAATGCGCGAGTGGTTGGGAACACAAGGTTAATAAGGCCAGCTCAGTAAATTAAAACTCAGTCAGGCTGTAGAATAAATATGAAGCTTTTTCACATTGTGTTTATATTATTTCAGAACTCTACGTGTTAGGCCAAATATTTTTACTCAATTGTCTTTCTTGTCACTTTGCTCTTGTATGTAAGATGTTTGCCGATTTAGATATTCAATTTACTATTCAATCTACTATCGTCTCCATCCTTTGTTTTGTTTTCTGCCAGGAATAATTCAAAGATGCACCGCAGTCAAGTATCACTACTCTTCGTCCATCCTACCACGAAATCTACCCATCAACATCACCAAGACCATACGGCAGGATGAGTGGCATGCACTCCGTGAGTATCAGCGCGTTGGCTCGTCTTTCTGGAGTTGGTTGGACAAGTCGCTTTAGTAACTAATTAATAATAATCAACATCTTTTTTTTGCCGTTCTTTGCAGTATTTGTGTATGTTTCTACTTCATGGCTCTACTGAATCCAATTAAAAGATTCATTTTGAAAATAAAACAGAAAAGGTTGAGAATCCATTAATTAATGATTTAAAGATGTTGTTGTATAGATGAGCTTCACCTCCAGGCGTTGATTTAGTGCTTGAAGTAACTTTAGCGTTCCTCAATGGCGCGATGTTGGTCTCTTATATGCCCCGTACATCTCGCTCCTTGATCTCATCGTTCACAACCATAACCTACCACAGGCATTTTGATATATTTAGACATTTTTGAGATTGGATGGAAGCAGTTATTTTCTTGTTTTTATTATTTCTAAAAATGCGGTCTAATAGGCTAAAAAAAAAGAATACCACGTCCTTCCATTGCTGTCATCCTCGCTCCTGAATGTATCCATAACCTGATAAGTCCTTTTCTCCTACTTCTAGACTTGTGACCAAAGGTTATCAGGTCATCGCTATTAGGAAGCCATTAGCTTTTTAAGTGGCTTATCTGAGGACATTAGGTCTGACAAATCAATATATTCTGGAATATCTCCCCCTAGAACACGTGGATGGGCTTTTATTCTTACATCAAATCTTCTCTTTAGAGAGAGAGAGAGAGAGAGTGAAGGAGTTGTTTGAATTTCATCAGTATTTATTTTCAGTTCTGAAACGTTTTTTCAGTTTTGTTTTCGGTGTTGTTATGAATCTGCTCAGACGTGTTCTCTGGTGGACGTGCTACACCCAAGCATCGTTTAAGATGTCCTTCTCATATAAAATAATGCTAATGCCTATTAAGAATCACAGTGTTTCTGACAATTAAGGTAATGTTACATTCATTTTAAGATTACACATTGATCAAAAGCATTATAAAAAAGGCCTCACCATCCTCTCTGTGGTTGGAGAGCAATAGATTCACCATCACGCAAAATTAGTAAATAGAAGTTTATACAATTGCCTTTAGTTTTACCGTTCTAGTGTTGACGTTTTCACCTCCACCCGCAGATCTAAGAAGGATGACGGCCGGCTTTGTGGGCATGGCCGTGTCCATCATCCTCTTTGGCTGGATCATCGGAGTGCTGGGATGCTGCCAGCAGCATGACCTCATGCAATATGTAGCTGGCCTACTCTTTCTCATGGGAGGTACTGTGAGAGCACATATGCCCACATCGACACACAAACATGCAGCCAGAATACAATTTCATTCAATTTCTGTATTTATTGGGTGACAGCTGAGAGCATCTTTGGGTTGTCATTAGAGAGTAGATGGGTGTCCTGCAGTGAGATGCACCGTGCATTCGGGTACCTGTGGGAATGGAACCTTTCTAAATCGCCGCTTGTCTCCTCTGCTCACTCAGGAACATGCTGCATCATCTCCTTGTGCACGTGCGTGGCAGGAATCAACTTTGAGTTGTCCCGCTACCCCCGCTACATGTACGGCCTCCCCGAGGACATTAGCCATGGCTATGGCTGGTCCATGTTCTGTGCCTGGGGAGGCCTCGGTCTCACCTTGTTGGCTGGCTTCCTCTGCACCTTGGCCCCCTCCCTGAGCACGCCCACTCGCACAACGACCCACAAGCCGAGGCAGGAGAACGGAACCGTGTGACAGGGGGCGTCCGTGAAGCGACCGACCCCACCGAGCGCACAGACAGCACCCTTCCAACCTTGATGTTTAACTCTGCAACAGTTTTTGTCTGATCACCATCCCACACCATCCTCGACATCGCCATTTCCCCTCAGTGTTCAGTGTGCCTGAGTTGTGACAGAAGGAGCAAAGTAACGACAAACTTCACACACCTAATCTCAAAAGAATCCCAGAGGCACCTCCAGGAACACGAAGACTAACACCTATGGTAACTTACGTCCGGGGCTCGGCTCTCATAGCACAAATGAGACATTTTTGGGTTGAGATGTTCGACGCGTCGACGTCTGTGGCGATTTAAAGGTGACTTTTTTTTTCTGAAGAGGATTTGTCTTAAAATGGTGCTCTCTTAAAATACACAAAGCCACATACACTCCCACGCAACACGTATACAACACACACACACACACACACACACACACACACACACACACACACACGCACGCACGCACCAGAACATGCTTTTCCACACATTCTCTGGATGAATCATGGGGAAAATCCGTCAAAAGGAAAGCCAAAAAAAAAAAGAAAAGACACACACACAAACATCAGGCCAGAGCATCTTGTCAGCATCCCTCTTTCAGTCGAGTGATGTGAGCTGTGTTATCGTTCGTAATGAAAAAAAAAAAAGAAAAATACTGCTGTTGACTGCCCATTGCTTATCTTTAGTGTGGCACACTAACTGATATCCAACATGAGCCCGGGGGGCAACGTCTCGAGCCTCTGCAGAGCACAAAATGGATTAAGCAGCGTGGTCAGTAAGATAAACTACACTTAAGAAACATCTGCATTGAAAAGAAAATAGTTGGATGCTTCTTTAAAGATTCTATATGTACAAAGCATCTCTATGTAGATCCAGATCATTGTTTGTGTAAATTAGATTTTGAATAACAAAGTTAGCGTTCTGTTTGTGGAGAGGTGATGAGGCCTGACAGTAAGGAGAGCAGTAGGAGTTACAGGGTGCTGCCAGCAGCACGAACGCATTATTGGATTCAGCAACGTGAAGGTGTTTTGCGGATGCTACTCGGTTGTTTGCTGACAAGAGCAAAACATGAAACCAAACTGCGGAGGGAGCGTCTGATTCCTCCATTGTTTACCCTCAATATTGGTCCGGCTTTTTGTGTAATACAAGGGGGAACAAAATGCAACTTCGGTGATAAAAACAAAAGCACAAGCTGCATTCCAAACCATTATCTGCACCAAGTACAATAACATAGTGACATCACATATTAGTGCAGGGCCCAAGTGTCATCCTGTTATGCTAAAGTCTGACTAAGTAACTGAGACAATGTGACAAGCAGAATATATAAAATCATATATGTGATGGACATTATTGTTCCCTCAATGCAATGAGGGAGCAAACAAATGGATGGAATAAACACACGATTGATGTTTTTAACTTTAAGATTGATGACGGCATTCCAAATTTGTTTTTCCAAAACACTTGTCTTGAGCAGTAAAATACATATTCATTGTGTAATAATTTACACTGTGGTAAAATGTATATTATAAAGTATGCATACTATTCTGAATTAATGGTTGCGTTACAAATAAAGAAAAGCACATAGATAGTAATTTGGAAAGGACTGCAGTGATGCTCTGTGGCCACGTTACATTTTATTTTTGAGGTGCACACATTGAAAATTGAAAAAATGAAGTATAATCACAAGTATTCATAATAAAAAGTTTTAAAGTGTTGTGTTAATGAACAACATTTAAGACAATCAAAATTGGAAATGCCATTTCAAATTTAACAGTTGGATTTTAGTGTATGTGGTACATACTTTGAATTGTGTGTTGTACGTACAATTCAGTTGAATGCGCCAGTTTTTTTGTACTAACTTGAATACGTAGAATGTGGGATGGAGCCACGGGAAAGGTTTAAAAAAAAAAGGAGTGTAGCAGATAGGACTACAGTTTATTCAGTGAAAAATGTATAAACGATCCTCTCTGTGACACTGGCTGGTGATAATAACTCCAAGCAGCCCGTTTTCTCTTACTGTACCCCCTCTCCCTCCTTCGTAGTCATTAGCAATCATTCATATTAAAATGTTCAAGGTCACTTCATAAAACAAGAATATTACAGCCATGTGTGATGACGTTTTTATAAATTGCTGGGGGAGTCATGAGATGTTCTATCAGCCATGTCAATTAACTTTCTTAGAAAAAAAGGTGTTATAATGTGTGTTGACGACACTGTGCGTGATGTTCAGTCCTTTCACCATCACCATGGACCTCCTCAAGAGGCTACCACTTTCCAGAAGTTGAGGAACTTTACTGAGGCATGTGTGAAAACTGTAACTTCAGTGTCTTTTTGAATCTTTGCACTTTGCTGGGTCTCATAAAAGTCCGCAAACTTGAAGTCCTGGCGGGTGGAGTTCTACATTATATGTTTGCAAGGTCGAATGTGGGCGCAGAGGATGATTAGAGCATGTAATAAGCACTCTGTTGTGTCTTTTACAAACAGTGTAGGGTCAGTCGGTCTAAGCTCTTATTGTGAAAATATTTATGCCAGAACCAGAAGGACAGACCATAAATATGAAAATGTCATTACACTAACAACTGAGTCAGTAAATTCCCTGACGTCCTCACAGAATGCGATGCTGTTTGGTGTTTTGGTTTTATAAAGTTATAAGTTAACACCCCAACTAATGTGCAGTAATATAAGTATTACTGTACACAGTAAACCGTAATATATAAGTACATGGTGCAATTATAATGTGTTGTTAGGAATGAAGCACAATTGCGCACAAAGTTTGTTTGTGTTAGAGTTGGAAATTTAAATTTTCCAGTACGGATGTGCCACCACTGCACATGTGCAGGACTTTGTCAAAAAGTATTACAAGCAAAAATTGAAATGAAAGCATATATTTACGCCCCGTATCTCTAATAATACATTTAAAAAAAGTAACATTAACAAACTAACAATGTCTGTATTTTAAAACAAAGCGTTTGTCTTTGGATCGGATTAACTTTAGACACAGAAGAACAGTAGCACACAGTAGCAGGACTGACAAAACATTAACAAGTGTGTGCTTTAGGGAACAAACGGGGTCAACACAGTGTAACAATGTATTTGAAATTGTTGTAAAATCCCTCCAAAGTGGCAACTTCCTGAAGAACTTAGTGTACTTGTACAGATGTACTCTGTGCAACGAGAGATGCTCTGTGAAAACGCCATCGTTTAGAGTGGCACTTGTTTCAGTAGCACAGCTATTATTTTCTACAAGTCATTTATACTGGTTCGATCCACTGCAGATGTTACGTGGGGACTAAAGAGACATTACAGTCTTGCATGATCTCATTACAGTTAGTTTCTTTCAATATATCAAAACTTGTGTCCATTTTTAATTGATTTATTTTACTGAAATAAAACATCTAATTACTAGCGTGTTTTGCCTTTCTGTGTTTGGAATCGACAGGTTTGCTGTTACACACTTGTTTGTGAATCTTTCCCATTAATCTTTTTTCTTCAAAACCCTTTTTTGACCACATTTATCTTAAAAGGATGTGACTCAAAATGGTACTGATGAGGCAGCAATGATTCTTGTGCTATCTTTGGCCATGAGCTCATTTATAAAACTGAAAGCATATTTTCAGTCCAAGTAAAAAACGAATGTGCCGGAGAGGCAACAGGAGCCGACCAGCAGCCAGCAGCCTCCTTCAGAGAGAAATGGAGGCAACGCTTGGGCTTTTGTCGCTGAGGACATGGTGCCATCTAGAGGGAGGACTCGATGTTTTGTGTTTGTGCCTTTTAAAGGCTGACATGACATTTGCTACAGGTAAAACCAAATGAGGAATAATACATGTAAAAAATATCTATATAAAGTGTACATTATTAAATATATGACAAGTTATGATACATATAATTATAAAACATGTTATGAACTGTGATTTAGGATGTTCAACATTTTCTGCCTTGTCAAAGGCGTTTATTGTTTTCTCACAGAAACCAACTTGGGTTTAATTTCCAGTGCTATAAACGTCTGTTGGAACAAAATAAAAAATGATGCCAAGTTGTTACACTTCTTTGGACAACTCATAGAAATAACAACCACTGACAAACCAGCTCCTTTCAGATTTTGAATAGAAAAAGTGAAATCCTTGACCTTAGAGCTCAGAGCCTGAAGCACCAGCCAGCAGTTTGAGCGTCTACCTCTTGCTCCGGTAATGGGCACCAACCACCATGTAGCTGTCAGGCGAGATGCCCAAACTGAGCGGCTTCTCTTTGTCCCTGCAGACCTTGCCCTCAGATCTGCTGCCCTGACCTCCTCCTCTGCAGGGGTCATGCTTCTGCAGGTAACTTGTGAAGGTCTCCCAGCCGCCGCCTACACGTACCATCACATGACGCTCGTTCAGCATCTGTAAAGGTGACATCAGAAAGCCCCGTCAAGGAGGGAACGCTGGCAGAGAAATTTGCGTGTATATTCTCGCAGGGTGTGTTTGTGAATAGAATTCTGAATTATGGAGAGCAGACATACAGCGATTCGATATTTACAAGCTTGTGTTGCTCTGGCTCTGAAAGGCAAATTATCTCTTGCTTTGGATAGCTTTGTCAAAATCTCATTAAACCAAATGAAACGACATCTCATGGCACCAGCTGAGCACATACGAGGCACTAATCCAGATATGAACGTGCGTGCGCACACATGCAGGAACACCCACGTAGGACTGCAACACAAACCACCTAATAAACAGAACGTCTTTATAACAGTGACTGCGTATCTGTCAGAAGTAGTTACATGGAGGACCATTTCATCTGAATCAACACATCCTTCAAAGACAGCCGACCTTACAGCCGTAAAACGAAACCGCTGCCATGGCAACTAAAGCCACAATGTGAAGCCTAGAAAAAAAGAAAATGAAAGGTGGAGTTCAGCTCAGACCCACAACTCCCAGCAGACGTTGACATTCCCAGGAGGCCTCGCGAAGCCATCCGTTGCCCCGTCAGCACCAGCCCAGCCCCCTCTTGCCTTATCGCCAATAAAACCCTTCATTATGGAGCCATTAGGGGTGTAGTAATACAAGCAGGTCTCCTCCTCGGATGTGGGGTGGGGGGTGAGTGTCACGCGCATGGGATGAAAAAAATCAATGATACAAGCACAGACACACGCACCACAATGCGCTATAGAGGAACCCCCAGACATGGTGCGTCTCAGCTGCCATCCTGCAGATTAAAATGTTGAGGTTGATGACAGGGTTCAAGTCTGACACCACCAATGAACCACTTTCCTGTCACGGGTCGAGCTAATGTAATTCTGATTGGGTTTCATGCTCAAAAATACAGCCAAAGATTATTTTCAAGAGAGATTTAAAAATGAATCTATAAACAATTGTCAGTTACAAATAAACACTTTACTACATACTGTATATACTGTGAGATTTAAGCTACATACGGTTATTTTTTCACACATTTAAGCAAATAAATATCTTCTTTTATTACCCCTACAAATGTTTTTAATAATCCTTTATTTTCAGTCTGAAAACAGAGTCGGCCCCTTTATGCACTGTGCTATTCAACACAAGCCCTCTTTGTCAGGCGAACTCCTTTATTTCTGTCTCCACATCTCCCCCCTCCCCCAACCGGTCTGCGTACAAAGTGTGCTACGTCTGCAGCCCATAAACTAGCGTCTGGATTCCCCTGTGTTCTCCCTGGCAGCTCCATTGACTCCCTCTCTCCGCCTCCTGAAACATGCATGAGAGGATGCGTCATGCCTCTGCCAGTAGGAGGCAGGTTTTAGCCAGTTTCACCGCTTTAAAGGGATTTTTTTTATGGAGTATGGTCATTCCCTTTTTATAATGCACTGTAAAGAGACAAACTAAGCAGCATGATATCATATGAGCCGATGGGGACACATGTGTGTCTTATATCGTATGTATATTTATCCTGCTGCGCTCGGCTCTGTCTTGAGTTGTAGACATAATAATACATTGTCAAAGATACCTGATACTTTCTTTCCCTTTAAAGCTAGAAGGTGTCATATAAGTTGTAAAACCTTCTGCCACGTTTTTCATTTTCAAATTGAAGATTTTGACTGTTGATCCCTTTTACCATGAGCTACACATTTCTGTTTTGGGGTGGAATGTCGTGAAATTTTATACAGACATTCATTATTTGGATTAATCTTTTATCAAGTGAAAAAATATCTTCAAATCTAATGGGATCCAGTTCAAGGTCACAGCCACCTATAGAAGTGGAGCTTGTAAGGAGTCAACGTCTTGCTCAACGACACAGAAGCTGAAGGGTTTATCTCCAAAAATACTAAAATATATTTCATCATCACCATTTATTTCCCGATTCTGCTTCCAGACTTAAAAACATGATTTTCATTTAACCTTTCAGGTGAATCTGTCATGTATATAGCTTTAAAAAAAAGGAATTGGTGCAGCATGATATTGTGAGGTGTTTAAATGTCTTTTCCTTCCATTGACGCAGTCGGATAGTGTGGCTGCTACAAAGCCCAAGGAGAGCCTAATTGGGCGCAGAGAAGAAAGAAAAGCCTTCCTCTTTTTTAACACCAAAGAATGGTGGAGCACTTCAGGGCCAGCGTGATTGAATGGACTCCAGGGGGAATAGAGGCGGTGGGGGGGAAGAGGTGGGGTAGAAAGTTTACACGTGAGGAGGGGCGGTCATGCTCAGCTGCTCATTAACACGCTGTCTGATTAAACCCCTCGCTAATGACTTTGTCTCGGTAATCAATAGTACCTGCTCTTTAAAAAGCTCTGCACACACTGGACGGCACGCTCTCCTAGGAGGCGTATCGGGGCTAGCGTGATATATGGTAATTGAGGGTTTATGGCGTGTTTCCCTGCACACGCGTAGGCAGCTCAATGTAATGGATGGCGTCAGGGTCGATGGGCTGCAGCGCTCTATTCACACAGCTCGGCTGTGTTTGAGAAGAGGGAATGGAGCGCGGCAAGTGTAGCGGCCACAAGCTAGTAATTATTGCTTGAGAACGGATTGCGTTCTGGTGATTCATGGTATGCATCGTATCTGCAAGGCCGGGTAGGGAAGGCGAGCACAAAAGGTCACCAGCCGAGACGAGGTAGAAAAACACTTCCTTGAGATATTTTAATAGAAATACACTCAGTTGAACCTGAGCATAAACGCTTTGGCTGTGACATCTGTATTGCCTTTCTTTGATGTTGTGTATTTTGGCGCTGGGCTGTGTTACTGACTGTCAGGAGAAACAGCTGTTCTGTCACTTAAAGGGAGGCATTATTCTCTAAATGGCCAGTGGGAATGTCTGTCAGCCAGCCAGAAATTTAGCTGTAACTAAACTATTGATTACCAGTTCAGGGAGTGTTAGGTCAATATAGTTAACACACCGTTATATTCAAATTAAGAAACCAATTAGCCTCCGGAGCTGTCATATACCTCGTTGTAACAGTGTTTGGCAAAGAAGACTTTTACTTTGTGATAGATTACTTTGCACCTTGTAACGGCCTTACTGAGGCCTTACTTACAGTTAGCTCTATAAAGACATTAAATACATTTAATAAACACTGAAGCTGTTATATTTTCTCTTATACGGCTGGATGGTTGCGTACACATAGTGAAGTAAAACCATCCTCTTATATACAAATCCCCCCGCAGCTCGGTGGGTTTGCGCTCCCCAGTGGGCTGCCATTTGCACGGCACACCACAATCATATCTGCCAAATCCTCCTCAAAGAGACATGTTTGTTTTTCCTTCAGGTTCGAACTCTTTGCCGAAGGTCTATGTACTGAATACAATCATTGTCAGCCCGGTCTTATCCTGACCATTGGTTGCCAGGCAACCCCGGCTCCCCAAAGGCCATTCCTCGAGCCTTTGTATAGCGGCACACGGGCGGTGCACGACTCAGTGAGGCTGAAAAGCATCGACGTCTCCATCCAAAGTGATTGCAAATGAGTCGCTCTGACACACCGCACTTAGCACCTCAAATCTCATTAGACAAATTAGACAAAATACCTGCAGTATGTTTGTCACTCGAAGGACGTGACGTGAAGGACGTGGGCTGAACGAGACTGTCTTCTGTACTTTGTTTGGATGTTGTGACTTGATGAACGTGATTGCAGGATTCATATGTTCATGTGAAACGGAAGGGTTTTGGTCATGTGAGGAAAGGAAACGATTATGGTCTATTAAAATAGATTTACCTCGTACTGTCTTTAAATCTGGACTTTCTAACTATTCAACTCATACCACCACATTTCCCTGACTTCAACCTACTAAACCTAACTAGTTTAATCCATGCTATGGATACAACCAAAAAAACTTAAATATCAATATTCCGTGACTGTGCAGATTGGTTCTGTAACAACACTTCCTCGCTATGTTGTAATCTGGCATGCTGTGTCTCTGTAAACACAGTCCCCGGGGCTGAGTGAATAGGCTTACCCGTATGTACAGAACTTTCTCCCCAACACGATAGCAGCCTTTAGGTTGCTTCTCAACAAGGAAGCTGGTGGGACAGCTGCAAGGGGGGTTTTCAATGATGTTTCTCACCTGCAACAGGTTAGGCAGAGAGAGGGTAAAGCATACTCGCCGCAACAGCTCTGAACTCCAATAACATCACTTCCAATGGAAATACATTACGTACAAAGTCTTCCAAAATATTGTTGGTGCCTGTGCTCCTCCGGCTCGTGGGTCTGCCGGAGGAACGGGCCGCTGCTGCAGGTGGGGAAGTGACGGGTGGTGCAGCAGCGGGAGTGCGGCTGTTTACCGCGGTAAAGGAGGCCTTGGGAGCGGACAAGAGGACTGAAGCTGGTGTGTCAGTGGTGCAGGGTGAGGAGAACAAAGGTGTTTGTGTTGAGGCTGTGGTGGTGCAGGGGGTAGAGGCTGTGAGGGAGGACTGGGGAGGGGATGAGCACGTAGGTGTTGTGGCTGATGGAAGATCAGAGGCAATGGAGGCAGCGAGGGGTTCAAACAGACGGGTTGTGCTTGGAGTGAGGGGCGCAGGTGGGAGAGGAGGAGGAGGAGTAGGGGGAGGAGGGGGTAGGGGTGATTGTGAGGGTGAATACAATGATATTGGCGGAAAAAAGGAGACGTGCGGAGGGGATGATGGAGATGAGCACCCCGCCTCCTCCCTCTCGATCTCCCTCTCCAACTTCACCAGCCCTGGAGGCTCCATGCCGTACCTGAGAGAGCGGTTCAACAAACGCATCAACAAACACAAGGATGAATCAACACTGACTAACAAACTGAAGAACAAGTATTTTAAATAGATTCAAATAATGAAATAAGTAAAAATAATGCATTACCTGAGTAATAACACGTTGAAATAAAGAGGCTAAAGAGACGGTTGAAACATTTAAACATGTGGGTATTTTCTCTTTCTCATCACAGATGTTGTGTGGTGAAATGTGAGCCTAGATGTTTAATGTGTTCATGTTTAGTGTGAACAAGTTTACAGCAGCTGTAGCGCGTGTCGGATAGTTACCTGGCTGCAATCCTTCCGAGCTCCATCAGGCACAGGCACACCTCTCGAGGCTGCTTGTGGAGGACTGAATGACGTAGGAAGCACAGACAAAGAGGGTGCATGAAACTTGAATTAGTCACTCATCTGAGAGGAAAGTTGTTTCTTTGATAAATGTTTGTGTGAAAGGATAACGGGAGCTGCAGCATGCACAGAGAGGACGTATTCCAGGTGGCGCATCTCAACCTCAATTTGAGGTCAAGCAGGAGTTTCTGTGTTCTGTGAACAACTTAACGTGTTGAAAGAAAGCTTGAGCGTTGGAAGAGTATACTCTCGCATGCTCAGTCATTATGGTTAACAATTTCTGCAATTGTTCAGGGCTGTCAATCCTGATATTAGCTGTTAAGATCAGCTGGTTTCTTGTCCAATGAGCACAATGTAACAACTACATTCAGGACTTAAATATCACGTATCCTCTGTAACTAATAAACATCTTACTGATTTAAATGAGGTTGCTGAGCATGCATTTATGTATGTGCAGCTACATGTGGGGCACCATCTATAAAATATATATAGATATCACTTTATTGGTATTTGATTTTCATTCACCTGTGTTTGATATCCATCATTAACATCATCACGGCTGCAGCAAGAAAAGGAGACGAGAGACAAGAAAGAAAAGAGTAATCATCCGTGTCACCAAAGCAGAAAGTGAAGCCTGTCAGAGTACAGTAAGTTTACTCTCCTCGTCACTTAATTAGTCAAGTGGAGCAGGTTATTCGGCCTGCAGGGGTTCAACCTTTTGTTGGTGGATATTAACCTCCTTATTATCATTCTCACGCATCTGGCAGCCTGCACAGACCTGTCCAAGTAGACAGAGACGAGTGTGTGTGTGTGTGTCAATAAAGAACCTTGTTAGCATGTGAACTACTCAGCAGGATCATACATACGGAGGGAATGAGCGCGAAATGACACAGGAGGTCTGAGCACACGCACAAACAAAGATTCATCACCATAATGAATCCGTCCCATTCAACGTGTAATCTTCATTTCCGAATTTCCGGAATTCTGACTAATATATCTAATGAGTTTGACAGCAGTGGTAGTTTGTGTCGGGTTTAAAAAATACATTTATAGTCAATAACCAATAATATCAATGAATTAGAAAATAAAAATTTGCACAGAAGTGGTATGATTGCTGTTTTGAGCAAAAAAAAATAACGGTTTTAATACAAAACAATTTAAATAAACTACGTAATATCTTCTGACAAACTCTGCTGAGTTTATCACGTATATTCAGACAGAAGGTCGGATGCAGGAAAAAGAGGAGAAAAGACGTGTCAATAGGCACAAAGCACCGGAGGGATCGAGTAGAAATAAAAATAACACAATGTCCTCACTCAACAAATAGATTGAATGAAAGGCATAAAGGCCCAGGAACATCTCTTGTGACTTTTTGTATTATTTCTTCTCCAGTGAAACTCAAAGCCTAAAGATTTTAGTCTAATTAACTTGTGCTGCGTGACGTGATTCACTTCCAAACTCTCTAACTCCGTAATGTCAGGCTCAATCTCCGGTCTTAACTCACCCAAATCCTCAGACTCAAAAAGGTAAGCCTCATCAACGCCAATCTTTCGACACCAGTAGAGGAAGTTGGCGGTGTTGTCTCGGGCAAAGAATGAACGTGAAGACGCATCAGCTCGCCAGTGGATCACTCTTCTTACTAAAGGCTGAACACACACACGGAGGAAGTGAGTAGAAGCTCGTTCAGTGCAGTAACACACAAATGGATTCAAATGTTTTGTTTTTTTGTGGAGAGTGTGTGTGTGTGTGTGTGTGTGTGTGTGTGTGTGTGCGGAGTTGTTCTTGTTGCAGCACCTTGCCGTTGTTTGTGTGCATCATCTTGTCCTGGAGCAGCTGTGCGAGCTGACAGAGTACGACGCCGTTGTCCAAGCTTTCCATCAGAGTATCTGCGGTGACGTCCACACCTGGACCATCACAGAGTTATGGTTATATAAGAATATATGTTACCCGGGCCACCTGTAAAACACCAAACTCAGCGCAAAGAGTCCCTCAAAGGAAAAGAACAGACCATTGCAACAACACTTGCATCAGAAGCTTAATGCGTTGCAGCAAGAAACGTAACTAAACATGAGGACAAGCGCTAATGTTGTGAGATGCTTAAATACAGAGGCATTGATACTAATCATTATGTTTTACATGTGGGTGACTTATCTTTAGTCAAGGCTTTACAAAATGCTAAATACAGCCAAATGAGTGTTTAATCTGTGTATTTGGACTTGTGTTTTTGTCTTGTCAATTTGCAGACACCCTCCAACAGGCTGTAGCATGTGCGACCCCTTTATGTTCTCCGCCACAACGCAGCACAGTGGTAAGAAATATCCCATGGTCCGCAGTCACAGTTTTCAAGGATTCGGGATAATAAGAAGGTTAATGTGCGTCTGTGTTTAATGTGGCTGTAATCTAGGAAACACTGTCTCACCCATGATGGTGTTGATCCAGGAAGCCAGATCTTCTTTCATGGGGAGCAGGCTGGCGTCATGGCGATAAGGCAGCCACTGGTTGAACTCCTGAGGACTGGCGAGGCCGGGCCCGCAGGGTTGGAACTTTGGGCCGAGGGGAGAGTTCATCCCCAAGCCGGTCAGGTGCCTCGGACTCAGAGGACTGTCAAGGTTCATGTTCGTCGCTTCCACTTCACTGTCCATGCTTCAGCTCAGATCGGTCTTTACGGACCCTGGTGGAACAAAAAGCATGTTTTGAATCCTCTTGTTGGCTTTTATTACAACATCTTGGCTAGGCTGGTTTTAGTTTAATTTATCAATATGTTTTAGTCACAGCGGAAAGGGGTTAGGTTTAGATTCTGCTCAAAATCAAAAAGTAAAAAAGCAAAAATTTAACACCGTCTTACAGATTCAAGGCACATCATATTAGAAATATCAGTACATTTGTATCAGCTAGCACGTACAGCATAAGAGAACTCAATCCTAATAGAATTGCATTTGCAGTATCTGTGGGACATTGTGTTAATATTCTGATACTGTGAACATGTAAGCTGAACCAATGGGTCCATCTCTATATTGAATAAATTTGTTAATCTTTTTTTCATAGCTAAGCATTGGAGGGGAAAATGCAGTCCACTTTTCATGCAGAAATATAAGACAGCCTGAACTCAGACCATATTAACTAAGTATTTGTGTTATTTGGTAAATTCAATTATTCTGTTTCAGACGAAGCCAACAAGTGTTTTGACTGCTATCCTCTAACAAAGCAAAAAATAATTTAAATAATTATTCTAAACACAATGGGGCTTTCGCCCGACTTTCAGTTGTCTCTGGCCCTAACAATGGTTTTTGACAGTAATAATGGTTGGCTATTACCAGTAAAAACCACAGAGCTATCTGACATATTTACATTAGCAACACAACATGTTGGAGCTAATTGTTTACACTGTGCTGCGTGCACATACCTTCCACTCACAGCCACATAATACACACAGTCGTTAATCAAAGGGATTGAAGTGACTGACTGCAGGTTTAATAACATGTAACATGTCTCCTGCTGCCGCTGTATGGCTCACTTATCCTGTTCCCAGAGGAGCCTCCAGCTCAGCCCCATGCGGAGACATGCTTCGACTTCCAGTAATACTCGCCGCTGATCATATGGTGAGGAGGTGTTGTTTAAGTCACGGAAAATACATGACATTTAATCTGGAGGCTCCATTTTGAATTATAGCAGTGTGGATTTTAAGGCGCTTTTTGCTTTTTGCTTTTTGCTTTCTGCAAAAACAGAGAATGAATAGAGGATAATAGTTTGAGACTTAATGGAATTTTGAGGAAATGTCCTCAAAGCTATAAGGATTCATAGCACGGGGACCAGGCATATCTGTCTAATGTTTAATGACAAACCATGCAATTGTGGAGATATTCCATCTCGTAACAAATAAAACGACCGGAAAAAGTTCAATCTTTAAAACATTTGTTATCGTTAGTGGAATATAAGCAGGCCTGGAGGGCAGGAGTTTGGGAGCCATACAGGCAGCATGACAGCTCTGCAGCTCATTTATCTGAGTACCACCTACAGTGTCTGTAGCTCCATGTTGCAGATCGTCATTACAAGTTTAAGTTGGTCGAAATGTTAGTAGAGCAAAGACGTACATGCAGTAATGTATGTTAGTGAATTCTGGGCTCAGCTCGAGTAAGATAAATGTGGAGACGTTGTAGACACAGAGTTGGGACTGTGTGTTGAGAAAAAAGGACTCTTGTAAACACATCACACGGACGTGGGACAGAGACAAGGTGTCATGTAGACGGAGCTGCCCAAGTTCGAGGCCGGTTTGTTGGCCGACCAGCCGGGCATGAGAGCGTCTGACTCCAACAAAACGTCCAGGTGCCATATTCGCACCTCCGCTACAGAATGGCCGTGTAGGGAAGCGAGGGCAAAGGTCAGCCACCGACCCCAGCTCTCAGACACTGGCAGCCTTTATACTCCTGCTGAGTTGAGGGTCCTTGTCTGTAAACACACCACATGTGTACACTGGCACAACCACACACAGGCCCATGCGTGTATACCTGCTTCTATTTCGCCTCGTTTACTTTGCACGACCTGTAAGTTACAGTGGTATTTAAAAGCCTTTCATTTTGTTTTACAATGTTAAAATTACACAGCCTGGATGTGGGAATTTGTGACGCAGGGATTAATGATGCAACGACAGAGGCCTTAAGCAAACACGCCAGAGAACGAAATTAAAGCTCATCTTGCCGTCTGGTAAACAATTAACTTCACAACTAAAAAAATGAACTTTCCTCACATGACAGGTGTTTACTCTGGTAAGGCACGAATACGTCACAGAAAGAATTGTCTTTTCAGTCAGGAACGTACAGTCGTTGTTTCCATAAACATGTTTCAGGTAAAACGCTGTTACTGTATCGCCTGCAGGCTTGTGCATTCTGCTTTTGCCATTAAAGCCTGTTTCTGTGTGGTACTTGTTTGAAAGAAAAGATAACTGTTCATACAACAAGATAAATAACTTTGTTTTGGAATTGGATCTGCTGATATCGGCAGCGTTTTCCATCAGCGTTGACTCAATGATCTGGTGCCTCAGGTGTAGGTTTGTGGTTCTACAGCTAAAACGAGACATGTAAAACTAGGGTAATAAAAGGTGAGGTATAGGTTTCAGCTGGTGCTCCCCCCTCCGTGTCTTTCCTTCGGCTGCTTCCAGGCCAAATAAACCTCATTTCAACACAGGATGGAAAGGTCTGTCGCCTGCTGCACCCACAGCAGTGGAGACTTTTTGTACTCGAGATCCAGTAAAACACAATAAAAGACCATTTTGGCACAAAAAAAAACAATATTTCTGATTGATTGTTTTAGTTTGTGGAAAATGAAATAAACATGGATCTTCTCCCAATTCATTTCAGTTCATTGTGGCAGTTTGGCCTCAACTTTTTTTGTTTTTTTCCCCCCGAGCAAGTTCCGACATCCTGTTGGATGACTCTTCGTCGACTCGGCGCATTAGTGATAACTCATTTGCAAAACTCACATCAAAAGCATGTTCTCTTCTCACAACAAAGACATTTTCAAACATCTAGAAAAAGTGAACTGCAGAAAAGTTAAAAGACAAAAAAAAGAAGAAAACGTCAAGTGTACTTTAAATTATTTTGTGTGTCATTAAATTGCTGTAGAACAAGGACTAACAACAAGAACCAACTTCATGTGATCCGTTTATCAATTAAAACAAATTTTGAATAAATCTGAAACTGCTGTATTATTCACATCTAAATACATTTGACATTTGGTTTAAACAACCACGTTAAAATACAGTACGTGGGCTGCTTTAGAACACTATCAACACATCGGCACAATACAATCAGCATTAGTGAGGGACATGCAATTTCATAATCGTTTTATCGTTCTATCATCGGTATGAAATGAACATGTGCAGTAATCATGAGGTTATTTACTTATTATTAAATATTAAATACACAGTTTGCAAACAAATGTTACTTACCACTCACTCACAGTATTCTTCAGAAAGTTTCCTTTTCCATAAAAGTTCCCTCAGAGAGTCTCGTGCGCCGGAGTTTTCCCCTCACACACGCGCACACATGCACGCATACTTTGAGCCAGATGTTGGTCTCCCTCAGGTTCTCCACATATGACAAGCTCCACCGTAACAAGGTGGAGGCTGCGCTCACTCGTACAACACACTCTGCTCTCCACGTCTGCACGTGCGCGGTGTCAACTTACAAGGTACTTCAGACACGTTAGAACCAACGCACTTAAAGCGGCCTCCATGCAAACACCACAGTCACAGTGGTCACAGGTGTTGGGTTTAACAGTACAGTGTATTTAACACTTATTTCCAGTTCAATTGTTAACACTTTGTTGAGTGTTGATTTAACACTGACAAGATTGGGGCAATGTAAACACCAGCTTAAAAAAAAAAAAGTTAAAATTGAATTAAGAGTTAATTTAACTCTGAAATTTGCTGTGAATTACATTTACACACGATGGTAAAAAAAACTCCTTATCAGTACCGGAAACTAATATCTATTGAGCTATTTCTTGCTCATTTTTATTATTACTCATTTTAAATTACTTTTTTTAATTGTTTTTTTTTCAATAACAGAAGGAAGCAGCATGTGTGTGTGTGTGTGTGTGTGTGTGTGTGTGTGTGTGTGTGTGTGCGCGTGTGGCTGCTGGTTAATTTGCAGCACTTTCCCCAGGGAATATCCCTTTGTGTCACTACATCTATCAGACCCTCCCCACTTCCTCCATCAGTACACTTCACTGCCCTCATGCTTATTTGCACTGGTTAGACTTCATCTGACCTATGCTAATGTGAATATTAATGTCTGTGTGTGTGTGTGTGTGTGTGTGTGTGTGTGTGTGTGTGTGTATTTGTGATGATAGTGGGTGCAACTGAGTGAATCACATCCTGTCTCTGTCATAAAGGCCACGGGCCTTTGAGCAGATATGGTGTAGCTGTTAACAATGTTTTAAAGATCTGTTAAACGTTAATGAGGACTCAATAGCACCCACAGTTAGTAAACAGTTGCTCCGCATCTGAAACAGAACCAGGACTATAAAAGGAAGCCAGACAACACCGATGGTTACACAGTTTATCCTGAAAATAGTCCCCAACAAACCCACTAAACGCACTCGGAGAGCGCAGACTTTGCGAAGGTCAATCGGTTCCCAAATTGTATGGGTTCTTTGAACAAACCGAACCAAAAAGCCTTTTATGTTGCTAAAGTCAACCTTTTTTTAACTTGGCCCTGCTTGTTAAATACATGCTGACACGAGTTTAATGTATTTTAACAGGAGGCCTGTCTGACAGTGAGAAAATGATTGAATTAAAACAACGTCTTAGCTACACGATTTGCATCAGCGCTCACATGACAGATGGCATCTCAGGTTGCCAAGACAACTGGACCTTAATCTGCCTCCCTCCTATCCCCCTCTGCAGTGGTGGCAATGGTAGTGTTGGGGGTCGATACCTCGGCACAGGGCACCATGTGCTGTGTACCACTCAAATTGGTCCCCTGGGTCAAGAGGACCCGAGGGCCATCAGATGGGGACACACTTATTAGAGACTCACAAGTGTTTTATCATTCTGCCAGATTAAAGCAGAGTTGGAAGTGGTTGCATTCATGTCATTAATTAATTATTTTCTGGTCGTGCTCTCTGTCTGATGTGTGCTTCCATGCATTCTTATGTTCAGGTTTCAAATACAACGTTGTTGCCTCCACGAAAAATGTGCAACCTGTGACGACTGTGAATTTAAAGCTCATGTTGATATTGCATCATGGATAATGTAAGATATAAAGTTTGGAGCTTCAAACTTAAGGACTCAAATTGCAAGTTTCTCTATTTATGTTTTAAACCGGTTTATTTTCAGTGCATCAACTTTATGTATGTGCATACAGACATTTTCAGACTGGATGAAAAGTTCGACTGGATTTTGTCACCGTTTTTTAAAATTAAATATTATTTCTATTTGGACCCCCTGAACACGTTTAAAGATGTGGGTGGTGATTTAGTCTGGAAACCAGATTATTCCTTAATAGAATAATTAGGAAAAAGAACATTTCCAGAAACCATGATGACTTTTTAAAACAAAAACATTGAAACGTATTTGCAAGAATCCTCACTCCCTCAAGAAATATGAGTGTCAGATGCAATCATAGCAGCAAAGGGAGTTCCCTGAAATGTTCTTTTACGTGGTATCTTATCAAATATCCTCCCATTGTCATATTATGTAATGTGTGGAAATACTCTACACTGCCGTTGTTCATCTCAAAGGAATTTATTGTGATTCATATCATGTCATCATATTGTCTTAATTACCACTGATTATGCCTGCAGACCATCAGAAAACCTTTCTCTCTGTTGGCCTGTCAGTGGGTGCGTTGCCGTGAGGCATTCATATAAATGACTAATAAATAATATGTCAGCCAGTCGTGCACATGACAAATGCATACTGGTTACCTCGGCTGAGGCTGGCGGTCCAGGGGGTCAGTACCTGCAGGGCAGACCTTTACTTTAATTAAACTACCTGTCACGCTGAGCGTCTGGATTTGGACCCAGTCTGGAATCAGGGCCAGAAGAACACTGTGCGATGTGTAGCAACGTGGGAATAAATACGACTACTAATTGATTTATTTATTAAAACGTATTGCATTTCAGCAGTTCTCTACTCCACACAGAACACAACAAGATGCAATATCCTAAATGTGTTTTTATGGACTGTTAAGAAAGGGCCACCAGAGGGCAGCATGGCAACTCAATCAAAAGCCATTGATGCCTGAAAAAAAGAAAAGGAAAAAGAGAAGCCATCTTTACTTTTAATGGAGAGGGGCGCATCCATTGTCTACGGTTTCCATGTGCATTCTTTTAAGGCTTCCAATAAAAAGAGGAAGGACATAAAAAATTAAACATTTTTTATATCCTTCACATCATCCAATACCACAAACAGCAATCAGACAGATCCCTGATGGTAACCAAGGAGGGAATATCTGCATTTAAAAGTGCATGTCAGTACCCGCAGCTCCATGGTTACTCGACAAAAGCCTATTGCACTTATTGCACTTTAAATCCTTGAGTCAGCCGTGTATAGGGCTCGGCTCCACGGCTGCTGCCTCGCTGTCATCCGTCTCTCTGTCACTGCGACTCCAATCACCGGGATTTTAACAAGATTACCGGGAGCGAGTGGAAGCAATGGAGTACAGTGTAATGTAATTATCAAGTGATGGAGTGCCCGAAACAGCTGTATTATCACTCGCCAGTCGCTTAACCCCTGTCAACACGTGAGGGATCACACTCACTCCCTGAGAGGTTATAAAAAAGGTTCATCACCATATTTGAATTGTTAAGGGCTTCATTGATTTGCAACAAAAACAGCAGAAGGATGGTGGGTGAAGGTCTCTGTCTTTGTGTCTATTTCTCCAGACTTACTTATCGAACAAGAGTGTGGGGTTGCTTCTTTTTGTCGCTCCTGACCTCGTGGTACCCACATTTCTTTTTTTTGCAACATCCTTTTTCCACAAGTATCCCAGTCTCCATAGCAACTCATCTCAGTTTGAAAAACATGGACAAAAGACACACCCGGACAAAAAAAAGAAATAAGACTGGCAAGGACATGTTGATTAATAAACAGAACATGCACGTAGATGCAGGGCACACATGTATTACAAACACAGATTTCACCACCTACAAAAGACACAAATGTCGTTCTTAGATTTGAAGTCTCATTGAATGTTGTGATTTTATTCATTTTATATCCTTTGTTCAGTGATGGATCTGATATCAACATTACAGAGCCAGTCCGGCCTGAAAACACCTTGATATACATGCTTCAGTCACTTATTGTTATCAGACCTTTTGAATGGGAACAAACTATGAATCTCTGAGATCTCTTCCCCCTTCAATCTAAGGCTTTATTTATTCAGGTATTCAGGTTCACTGAGAAGTGTTGAGAAATTTTTCTCCAGCATTGCACTCTTTTTGGACACTTGCAAGTCAGACAAAAAATTGATGCAGCACAAGAGATATTATCTTTTTTATTCCCTGTACTCTACTTGCATGTCCAAACCTGGCAGGATAGTTTGTTATGTCAAGGTAGAAGCGTCTCACATATCATTACTCCACATGTCAAACAGAAGGGGGGTGAGTGGCAAACGGCCCACTTAAAGCACTGCTATGCTAAGCTAGCTGCTAGGCTAAGCTAGCTGCTAGGCTGCTTCCATCTCAACATCTAACGTTACCCAGCGCAGCACACAGTCTGCAGAGGCAATTCAAACACAACCGTTAATTTATGGCGAGTTGAGAGCAACGTGCACAAGGACAGCAGGTCGCTAGTTTAACATGTTCCACCAGGTGGAATTCTGTCTTCAAATGTGTGTAGTTTTTTATTAACCATTAAACAACAGTGTCTAAAATAGTTTTGTCTTTAGAAGAAAAACAAACATTCATTAAAAACAACATTGTAACAACAACAACAACGTTCATTAATCGCCATTAATCGAGATTAATGAATTTCAAAATGTGCGAATAATTGGTTAATTTTTTTTTTCTATTGACAGCCCTAATAAAATATAAATACTTGCAATAATAAAACACAATATACTTAACTCAGCCAAAGTTAAAGCACTACAGTAGTCAGTCAGTGTTAGTCAGTGTTGCTATTTAATTTGATCATTATTCTTCACTTTATGAGTGAAACATCTGGTTCTGAAGAGAAGAAGATGAGAAGCATTTATTAGAGTGTGTAAAAACATATATTGCATGTTCATTCATTATCAAGGCATTAACAGAAAAATGGTCCCCTCTTGTGTTGAAGTGCAAGTAGTTCATTTGACCTTTAAAACAGTTTGATAGACCACCCACGCATTTTAATTTGTTAGAATTGTCCTCTAAATTCGTCATGAACAAGGACAAAGTAGCATGGGAATATAAATACTCGAATAGAGCTCCTCAAAGTTGTACAGTTCTTGAGTAAAGGCACCTTGTGTGAGATGTTATGTTGTGGATGTTGTTGAAGCCTTCTAAACCAAAACCTTGCATGCATTCAGTTTGTGTGTGTGTGTGTGTGTGTGTGTGTGTGTGTGTGTGTGTGTGTGTGTGTGTGTGTGTGTGTGTGTGTGTGTGTGTGTGTGTGTGTGTGTGTGTGTTAGTACACAGAGTAGGGTGGGTAAGTGGTTTACAACACTCCGTCTGAGCAGAAGGGACAAAG